TTTTTTTTAATATTATCCAGTATTTGGCATGATATAGTATAAGATAATATATTATATAAGACAATATCATTCAGTGTTTGATAATATATTGTATAATACTAGATAGAATAAAAATAAATATTTTTGACAAAAATACCTTTTAATAAATAATTTATATAATTCTTTCAAATATGTCATATGATATTAATTTTTATAAAAAAACTATTGATGAGTGTCTCCAAAAAATATATTAATTTTTATAAAAATTAAAATCTCCAATATTTTAAAAATTCGTATATTGAAAAAGTATTTTTTATTTTAATATATTAATATTAAAATAATATATTAATTCTTGAGAATTGTACTGGTCAGCGATGTTAATACATTAACCCCTTATCAGACTTAATCACACCCCCTAGGCATGAGTAAGTTATGCATCATTTTGATGTATTAAAAGATTCTGATATATAAGCTTATATTATACGATGATCACATTAAATAACTAAAAATATCATAACGTATAGTATAAACTTATACTATATATCAGGCCTTATACATCACACCAAACATGCCCTAAGTGAATCGTTTGGGCACTTGAACATTATGCTAAGGATAATTAATGTACGGACCTAGCTAACAATTAAAAAAAAGCAAAAACTTTCACACCAAAGGTGATTTGTGTCACCGGGAATTATAATTTTTTTTTTGAGATATTTCAATCGATTCATTGCTTTGTGACATGTCCAATTCGGGGGGTCACATAATTAAGGCTTTAAATTCTGGGAAGGATCGAAAATATGTTCTCACCCCACCTGCTCAGTCCCCTGACACCAACTGAGCTATCATCATTTGGTGGAATTACAAATTCTTTTATCACATGAAAAAATTGGACTAATTAGGAGGGAGGGTTTTAAAATAGACGACACATGAGAAAGAGGGGACAAGGTGGGTCATAGTAGGAGTTGTGATGAAGACTTAGAATTGAAGAAGGCTTTTGTTTTTTGTTTTTATATTTTTATGATAAATATTGGTATAAGCCATTATGATTATGACTAATTATGCTTTTTAATTGGGAGATATTACAAGCCTACAAAAAGCTCTCACTCTCACTCTCTCGGAGTTAGTAAGATTCGCAGAGATCTCGCTCAAAGCTAGAAAACCAATATAGAAATATAGATTTCAACGTTAATCACGCAAACATCATAAACAATAATTAATCATCATGAACACGTAATGGTGGGGACCCAAACCCTAAGTTTTGTAAACACACACCTGAACGTTATTATATTCAATTCATCCTCCATGTCATAACGTTAAGATACCCATTTCAGATAAGCCAACTGTGAAGTGTATCATGAGTAAAGTTGTCCACTTTGTTTTCATGTATGCATATAGCTTACCTCTCGATCCCTCTCTCTATCACTCAACTTAGTATATGAGCCAAGCTCCTAATTTATTGTTGCTTTGACTTTATTCACGAAATTGCCATCATGGCAAGTGATGGCATGTGTGAGAAGAAGTTGGAATAATGTGAAACATGCGTATCTAACATGAGATATTAGGGGTGAATATGATGTTGACACGTGGGTCATGCAGCAGTGATTAGTGGGACGGTGTTGGATTTGAGCGCCATATATAGTCTAGTTTAGGATCTTGGATGCTATCATACTATGAAAGCTCTTCTCTCTATCTCTATCTCTTCCCGAAGGGCTGCTTCGACTTTTTCTAAAGAGAGATAGTGTGCGTTGTTGGTGAGGTTGTCGGGTTTTTAGATTGAACCAAAGCATAATTGTCGCGTTTCTATAATCCGGTTAAAATTAAAAGAATACGATAAAAGTACTCAGAAAAAAAAAAATCGATTTCAGATGGTACATGGGTTTTGTGAGTTGATGTTTAAGTGTTTAATAATCTTAACTAATGTCATGGAAAAAAAGGTTGCATGAGCATTATGGAAAGATATATTGACATGTAAAAAAGCATTTCAATTCAAAAGTTTAAGGTTCATTTACCTGTGCTAATAATAAATTCTACAATATTTAATTAATGATAAATTAAATGGGGCGGTGATAATCGAACTCGTAACTCCGATATTTTGATATCATGTAAAGCGCTAATTAATTCAACCCAAAAGCTTAATCACCAATTGGCTAAGACAACATCAACCGTAGCAATAGTGGATCCAACATCTCATCTCAACCCGAAACTTAAAAGTTGGATTTATGGATCCATCCACTTATATCCACTTCACTTAGGTTATTACCAACCAATGTGGAACTCATCACACTTGAATATCTCAATAATGTCCCCCTCAAGTGTGAAACCTAACATTGATATGCTCTTCTTCAACCGAATATCAAGGCCCAAAGTACTTAACCCGCCTCCTAGCCAAGGCTAGCCCTAGCCCGAGCCCAACCCGGCTCTGATAGTACTGTCAGGCGGGTCCAGGAGGAGCCTGTGGCGAGGGGCAACCATCGATAGGCTATACCTACACCAACTATAGCAAGTGGGTCCGACACTACATCTCAACCCAAGGTTTTGGGTTGAATTGGTTCTTTACATGGTATCAGAGCCTTAGTGTCACAAGTTCAATCCTCACCGCCCCCATTTGATTAATAAATAATTAAGTATTGAGGAGTTTGTTAAGAACGGGTAAGTGGACCTATGTATTGTCCACCTTTCAAGCCCAGTTGGCTCTCGTGTGAGGAGGCGTATTAGAGAATCACTACAAGAAAACTGGTATTTTCTGACCGTTTATCTGAGGCAATTTCGCTTAAAATGCCTCTAATTTACACTTAGAGGCAGTTATATTGATTCGAGGAGATTATGGGTATAACCGCCTCTAAATGCATATTAGTGGCGATTAAAATAACTGCCTCGATTGAACATTTAGAGGCGGTTACACTATACCCGCCTCCAAATGTAGAATTAAAGGCAGTTATAGTGTAACTGCCTCTAAATGTTCAATTAGGGCGGTTATTTTAACCGCTTCTAATGTACATTTGGAGGCGATTACGATATAACCGCCTCCACATGTATATAGATGTGGTTAAAATAACATCCCTGATTGAATGTTTAGATGCGGTTGCGGTATAACTGCCTCCAAATATAGCAATTAAAGACGATTATAATGTAACCGCCTCTAAACGTTCAATGGAGCCGATTATTTTAACTACCTCTAATAGACATTCAGAGATGGTTATGGGTATAATAACCTCTTAATGTCTATTAGAGGAGGTTAAAATAAACGCCCCCATTTAACATTTCAAGTGGACATAGGCTTGCTCATACAGTTTCGAGCAATGATATTCAAAGAGGGAGATCTCTTTGTTTAGATGTTGGATTGTCCTAAAATTTGGTCAGTGTGTTCTTCTCTTGTAATACTTCAATATGACCATTCTGATTTTTAAGTTGAATCCTCTGGTGTTATATATAAATTTTGGAAAATAACTGGTTCACATTAAAAAAACATCTCATCTTCACTTTAAAGTCCCACATTGGATGACCCCTGCTCCTCCTTCTCCATTTCCTTCTATATAAGAACCCGCACTAACACCCACCAACACTTGAATCTGAATCTGAATCTTTGTGATTTAATTATGAATTTCTAAGTCAATTCTTGAATATGTTTTTTATGTTTCGATAGATATTTCTTGAATATGTGAAATGTAATAATTTTAAATTGTGGCATGCAAGTTTATTAAATTATTATTTAAAAAATGAATTATCAATTAACTTTTGAATCTGAATAATAATTATCCATTAGAGGCGGTTACACATTATTTAGAGGTAGTTAAAACAACCGCTTAAATTGTCGTGGGAGGCGGTTATTCCATTGGTTCATGAAAACCGCCCTAGATTGCCTTGGTAGGGTGGTAAAACTAACGGTTCATTAACTGTGCCTTGGGACGGTGGTAACACTGACAGTTCATTAACTGTCCACTGAAACAATTAGAGGTGGTTTGATCTTCCTCAATATGCTAATACAATCATCTCCCAATGTTAGTTTTCTTATAGTGAAATATTAAATTATTAATATAATCTCACCTAATAATTTAAGCTTTTAGGTTGAATTAATTTTTTAATAGATATGTTAAAAATGACTTGGTCTGAAATGAGCTGAGGTTTGAGATGAGTTAGATTCTTGCTTTAGCCAATGTTTATCAGTTGATCAATCAATATGGTAAGCTTCTGATTAGCCATTTAACGCTAAGTTCAAATGCATGAAAAGAGTGAAATTAAAGCAATTGCCACACAAATATCCAGCTGTACTTTTCTAACCTGTTTTGAAATTATTAGGCACTGCTTATTAGACAATTAAGTCAACATTAAACATGTACGAATGTAGATATTTTTTTACATAGTATAGTAACATCACGCAGCTTTAATATTAAATAGAATATTTATAGTACGCAGCATAGCTTAAAATTTCTCCTAACTTAAATTCATACAAAGGGACTCCAATGACTCTCTCTCTCTCTGCTTGTGTGTTAGACATTCAAATTATTAAAGTGTCTCTTGATGGGTTGGGAAGATAAACGTAGGAATGGGTCCAACTGAATATTAAACTTCGAATGAGTTAGTCTGCCAATTTAATGGCTTTGATGCTGCTATATACGTATACAACTCACCAAATCAACAAGTTGATTGGTTGAGACTATGAGTTGCCCTTCAAACTAGCTATCTTTTATATTCTTTTCTTTTTTTTTGGTACATATCTTTTATATTCTTGGTGCGTCATACATAATGCATAGTTTATGCTTTATAGTGCCTCGTACATACACGAGGGAGAAGTGTGTGAAGCTGAAATTAAAAGAGAATGATATATGGCTCTGATCCAAAGCCAATCATTTTGTACAAGACTTTCAACCCGTGCCATACTCCCATCACATGTATCGCATCTACGTCCTGATTCCATTACCCTTTGATTTATTGCTTAATAAAGATGGGCGTCTAGTTTCTTTTATCCCAAACTGTTCATAAGTCAAATAATTTAGAGAAAGGGCAATGAAGAAGGCCACCTTTGTAATTTGAACAACCGAGTAAAAAGGCAAAATGGAGATAAAAACTATCAAGAGACAAATTCCAATCCTTTGGGTCCCCTTCTCTATGGGTCCTCTTGGGTCTTGTCCCCTTATTTTCACACACTTTCTTCTCCTTGGGACGTCCGCAAAGACCCTATCTCTCTCTCTCTCTCTCTTCATATCTAAATTTCTACACAATATTTCTTTTGTCAAAATCCTATTGAATACTGAGTATAAATAGACCCTAACACATGCAACAACTCCTTAATATAAACACATTAACTGCCCCTTCTTGTCTCACACTTTCACTACCCCTTCTTCATCAAGCCTTTAATTCAAACCACTCCCATGGACAAACAAATTGACTACAACACTAGAAGAACAAACCCCACTTCCCCAACGCGCCTAAAGCTCTTTGGGTTCAGCGTCCAAGAAGACAACATGGAACACGATGTGATGCATGAAGACGTGGCAGACTCAACCACCAAGGCCACTTCCACTTCCCCTTCTCCTTCTCCATCTGGGTCGCCGGACTCAGGCGGTGGAAGTGGAAGTGGAAGTGGAGGTGGCGCTTGCCCTCCTTCCTCCGGTGACCGGAAATACGAGTGCCAGTACTGTTTCAGAGAGTTCGCAAATTCACAAGCACTTGGTGGGCACCAGAACGCACACAAGAAAGAGCGTCAACAACTCAAGCGTGCCCAGTTACAGGCCACTCGAAACGCCGCCGTTTCGTTCGTGCGAAACCCGATCATCTCCGCCTTCTCCCCTCCGCCTCACCTGCTGGCTCCGCCGGGATCCATGATGGTCCCGGCGGCCGCGCCCTCGTGGGTTTACTTGCCGCCACGTGCCGCGCCTCCTCCCTTCCACGTGTCAGTATCACACGGTTGTGTGTTCCCGTCGGCGAGCAGCAACAGCATGTGTAATAATAGTAATATCACCATAACAGGTGTGAAATCAGCGGGTGCGGGGATGTTTCCTTATGTTGGCGTTGTAGGGGATTCGTCAACCGCATTGTCAACGATGCAGGTACAAGCCCGGGCCCACCATGCTAGTACCAATGGACCCTCTTTGAGTAGGTTCTCTAAAGGAGACGGTGGGCCCAATTTCGATGATGCATTGGGCTTGGACTTGCACCTTAGCCTTGCGCCAGCTGCGCCGTGATCCCTCGGCTCGGCTTGAAAGTGAATGATTGTAGCCGCCTCTAGGTTCAGGCTTGGCTATATATGGCTGCTTCAGCTTCACATGTTGTACATTTTCACATTTATTTTTATTTTTTTTCAAGCAAATGATTTCACATAGTACACCTTGCAACAACTGCTCATTGACCACACGCACTAATTTGCTTTTTTACTTTTCATCATTCAAAATTTGTACATGACCTATCTTCCTTTTATAAGTTCAAATCTTTTTTTTAATTCTTCTTGAATTTTATTCTATAGATAAAAGGATATAATATAGTAGGAAATAGTAGTTATCCTTTTAAAGGATTTAGAATTGTGTCATTTTAATCAAAATTAATAAAAATTATGGTGAGAGAGAGAGAGATAGAGAATTTTTTCTTAATTTAAATATTTAATAAAATACAATAATTTTAACTAAAATAACTATTTTTTTATTTCTCAATATAATAATAAGAATTAAAGAAGGCTATTTAATTAGTCAAATTAGCTATGTGTAATTTTCGGTAGAGGATCGGTGCATTGATTTTATTGATCAGCCCATTGTGGTCCTTTTCACCATATATGATGGAAGGATGCATTTTCATTATTTCTGCCGGAAATTTATGAAATGTAATTAATAGTACAAAAATTTGCATTCACATGACCACAGATGTCTTTGAAAGTAGTGTACTTAGTTGAGGTGAAATTTGAAAACAAGACAAAGCATTCCAACATGTGTTAAGTCATTGAAAGTAGTGTACTTAGCTGAGGTGAAAATTGAAAACAAGATAAAGCATTTAAATGACCGAGGATATTCTAATTACTAAAAAATTTTACTACTAGTTTACTACCCATCACATTACCATTGGATCAAAGAGAGAGAATGTTAAAAACAATTTGAAGAGAGAAAAAATGTTAATCTAATAGTGATTAAATAGGTAGTAAATTAGTAATAGAAAATTTTAGTAGTGAAAATATCCCTCCTCTTCAAACATATGTTGATTGTTTAACACTTTTTTTTTTCTTTGGATACACAAAGAAGGAGTGGAACACACATCACCTAACACATTCTCTTAATACTAAGTTAATCCTAGTGACTTATTTAACGCTTGTGATATATTAGAATTTGTATTAAATATATGCATATCAAATTTAACCACAGATTTTGTTAGAAAATATAGTTATATTTACAAATTTTTTATTTATAAATTTTTACAAATTATATTATGTATTATCTATAGTACATACTCAAATAGTATGGACAAGAAATGAAACGTAATACTACTCATAATATAATATAATTTGTAAAAATTTATAAAAAAAAATTTATTTTTTATACACATCTACAATTATTATGCAGATCGCAGTGCACTTTTTACTTTCATTGCTTTTGTCCTTCTATCAACGGTTAAAAGAGGCGCTCGTGAGAGTAATATTAGAGTCAGAATCACGTGGTCAAAATATATGAAGCGCTATGTCTATTATAGAGCAACGACACAAATCTAGTAATGCTTTAAAAAAAAAAAAAAGTAATAATTATGACACTAGTTTTACTCAGGCGTAAACGGGAAGTTTGTGGGTAGAAACTATTATGTAATTTCGACAACATATGCTGTTTTTCTTGGACTGGGAGGGGTTGTTAAGAGGTCTGTTTCTTGCTGTCGGTATGTCATAATACCATTTAATGCCTTAGTACACACGAATATATATACCTGCTTGTAGCTGATTGGAGCTGCATCAATGGAAAAGCAACTAATTGTGTCCCATGTCACCTAAATGGTTAGTACGCTTCAATAACATTAAACATGCAAGAAAATGAAAGAGAATCTTAGATGAAGATTGGTATATTAATTCCAATGTTCCACCAATAGAATTTCAAGATCTTTGTGCCTCTCAAAGAAACGGGAAATCTTATTGCAATATTTCTAGACGCTAAAAGCTCCAATTAACCCTTCGATGGTTTGTTGGTGCCTTATTTTCTTGACAAAGAGTTGATAGAATGTGGGACCAATAACATCCGGACTAATATCTGTAAAAGTACTATTTTGAAATGTTCAGTTTAATTGGACGAGCCGATTAAAAATCAAGAGCTTCAATCAAACACCATAATCTTTCGTCGTCTCCCATAATTCACTGAATAAGTTTGATATCTAATCTCTAGGTTGCTGTCCAAACACAAGGAAGGTGATAGAGAGAGTATTTATTTGTTGAGAAAATAATTGACGAGAATCGCTTCTCGCTCTGAAGAGACTTGTGGATAAGAGTAAGACAAATTTAACGTGTATCAAAACAATAAAAAATAAAGGAGAAAGAAAGGAGGTTACGTTTACAGCTCATTTTTTTCTTACAATTATTTTGTTAATGTTGAATTAAAATCAAATTAACACCCACAAAATAATATCAAATGAGAGACGTTGATTTGAATTTGATCCAAAAATAATAAAGTGATTTTTGGTTATTATTGAGTTAATTTGAAATTAATATTTGAAAAAGAGAAAAAAATAATTGTTAATTTTAAATTAATCCAAAGATAACCAAACAGGTTATAAGAGTGGTAAGTCTAAAATGATGATAAATATAACCACTTCCTATATATGTATATATATATCATAAAAACATTTTTACAATGACTACATGTAAGTTATCCGCATTAATTCCTAAAACGATATCATATCGTTCTGAGTTTGATAGATTAAAAGAGTATAATGATAAAGACGATTATAACTCTGAAATAAATTAAAATTATAAAAATATCTTAATTTCTCTTTAAAATAACGTCATTTTGAATTCAATGCAGATAAATTACCTACAGTCACTTAGAAAAAACAAACCATATATATATATAATACTTGTAAAAGTAATAATTAATGCTCCCAAATTAAGTATAGCAAAAATATTTTCTTATTGTTATCAAAAAAAAAAAAAAAAAATTTTCTTATTAAAAGAGAAACGGATAGATTTGTGGGGAAAGTGGGGATTAGCTCGAAACGGTCATGTTGACAAGTGGTATATTCCCAAAATTCTTGATCTTTATTTCCTTTTCATGACTGAAAGTGAAGTTCAAAAATTAAAATATATTTAATGGAATTAAGACCACACTAGGTCCGTGCTTTTGCCACCCATCATATCAAGATCTTTGATACACAAATGTCTAACCCAAAAAAAAGATTTTGCCACTTTAACTAAAAGTTAAGGTAGGCGATACTATTTTCCTAGCTTAACCATAATCTTGGTTTTAATTTATCGTAGTTGGAAACAGGTGGAGTTGGTTTCCTCAAGGGAGATTAAAGGGAAGAATATGAATATTAATTTGAAACTTTATTATGGGATTGGATGCTTTCTCTTTTACCTTTCTCTTATTTTGCTTGAAACTTCTTAGTACTTTTGGTTTGATTTGTGGAAGAATGAAAAGGATGGTTCATGGTTTAGATTTCAGAAAAACTTGAGCAGATAGAAAAGCTTGTTCCTTCTTTAGAGCTTTTTGACATATTAGTAGAACGATATCCCTTCTGGTTGGTGAGGAAAGAAACTAAGAAAATCTAGCTAGCTCATTCCCACACCTTTTACCTCATTGAATTAACACAATATTAGCTGTTGTGAGACTATCTCACATGGCTTACACACGCAAGCCACCAACTAGTGAAGCTTTCTTGTTAATTTTAACCCCTAAAACCAAGAAAGGAGGACGGAAAAAAGCCAAAGAAAGTTGAACCATCTTTTCGTTTCTTAGTCACCTTAATCCAATTAGAGAAATGATTAAGTTAATTTGGACATGTTTAACAAGCAATAAATCGGCCCTCATAAGGATGATGGGACAATGGAATTTTGTTCTTGAATGAGAAGTCATTTTTCATTATTGTAATTGGCTTGAGCTTAATGGAGAAGTTAAGATAGAATAACTCGGCCATCACGTTCAGTGTATTAGACATCATACCCAATCTCAAACGAAACCATGGACTGTTTCTGTTTTAGCAGATAGTGCCTTTTACAAACTACCCTTTGAAAGTCTCTGTCTTTGCGTACTATAGCTTTGCACTATTGGTCAATAAGGAATTCACAACTAAGATATAGAGGGACATTGCAAGAGTTGGAAGCTGACTAGGGCTATGATTTCTTTACTTGATTTCTCTTTCATTTTCTTCCCCACAAACATGGATCTTGATTGGCTTCCCTTTAATAACGCAATGTGAGTGTTTGTTTGGTGGCAGTTAGCTGGTTATAATTTTAATATACAGCGATTAACTCACATGGATACTTTTTTATTTTTTTAGAGTTATCCAACTCTAATTAACTCTTTGAGCCGAGTTAGCTTTTCTTGGTATTCTCACAAGGTTTAGCTCTTTAGTTGACGTATTAATCCAGAGTGCGGGGCATATCAGTTATGAAAATATTTAAGTTCGTTCCAAAAATGACATGTGGAAATTGAACCGATCGAGACACTTTTCTTTTCAGTGCTCAACTCTCTTGCTATTAAGTGAACTACCATTATTTCATCCACGTGATAATTATAATCACGTATAATGCTCGCTGATTGGCATTATAGAATATATGCAAGTTGTTTACCGCAAGATGTATGAAAGTCTTGCTTTCTTTTGAACCGGACGGATCAGGTATAATCATTGTTGTTGGACATTTGGCTTCTATTTGGCATATGTTTGCGAAAAAGTAGATGAATTATGGCTCGGAAATTTATTTTAATGCGGGAGAAAGGGACTACAAATATAGCATATAGCCATATATAACTTGTGGTTAAAGATAAAATCTGTAACTTATTCTTTATTCTTTTTCTTTTTTTTTTTTGTAATATTAATCTTTAATCATTGTACACTGTATCATATGAACCATAAACACATATATAGTACTAATCAAAAAATATGTTGAACGTACACTTCCTTTTGGTAAATCCTATAAAACCTATCAGTTATACCTCATTTGAAGTTTTCTCTCGAACTTTCAATTAGTGAAATTTATATCTACAATATATAAGAATTTTATCGTATGCGTGCTTCATCATTCAAACAATTAATGTTTTAAGTCGAGCAACGTGTTTCCATTAAACAATTTTGCAGTTTTGGT